ATTTTCAACAACCCTTGGTAGTCAAACACACAACCAAGCAAGAAAATGGAACCGACAAGCAAGAGTACCAAGCAACCCAGAAAGAATGCCGAGGAGCAACTGAACAGAAAATCTATGCAAGACAAGATTTTGGCAGCACCTCCACCCTCCTTTTCAATTTTCGGTCAACCCTAAAGACCTCCCCAAGGTGGGGTTTTATAAGCAAAAGAGAGAGGAGCAGCCACCTACCAGCACTAATGGTGGCCGAATAGGGTGGTGGGAGGGAGATGAGGAGAAGCATTTAGGGAGAAAGAGAAGTAGACCTTGGGAATATGAAGGATCGGCCAGGTGGAGTTTCACCGTTGGAGAGTCGTTCGGTCGAATGACCAGCGAAGAAGAGGAAGAGTCGGCCAAGTCTTCGCGAAGCTAGGGCTTTGCTCGGGCGACCTCGGGTGCAGTCGATCGCGGGAGAGGAGGCGAGCCTTCTCGTGCGAACCCAGAAGCTAGTGCACGGGGAGAAATGTCGACCGAAGAGGAGGGGGAGCAAGTCGGGTGCGTGAGTAGGAATTAAGTGTGATTTAGAAAAAAAATTAAAAGAAATGTCTTTCTTTATTATTATTATTAATTTTATTATATTTAATATTAAAATCTCCCAATCCGTGCATTTTTTTTTGCTTGTGCGTAAAAAAATCATAGCAAAAATGAATGTCTTTTTTTAGGTAATTTCAACGTTTCGGACATGTCGGCGCAATCTGTTTCGCCGTCCGAGGTCATTTTAACAAATTCATCGATTTGCATGTGATTTGCTCTTGTACAGAATTATGGCAATATGGGTGTCCTCCTTAGCTAAAAACGATGTCTCGAAAGCGTCGGAGTAGTCTGTTTTGAAATCAGAGGTCGTTCGGAGAAGTTCACATTTTCACCCTGTTTAAGCTCAATTCTAGTTTAAGCTCAATTCTAGTCCATTCTAGTCCAACTTTGCGCAACTTAGTAGATTTTGTGTGTGCTGATAAATTTTTAAAGGGGTTTCCCTATGGTTCGAGATCCTATCGGGAACTTATCTTTGAGTCTCCACATGGTGGTCCTTAACCACTCGACTAAACGACGATGGTTTGAGATCACCCATGCAGGACACCACAAGAGAATCAGGAAGTGGCTTGAACTTCTGAGAGGGATGGATTTCAATACTAATCCTCTAAGATAATCAATAGGAATTCTTAGAGCTAGATCCTAGGATTTAAGGAGAAAAGATATTACCTCAAAATGAGGTCAACAATTAGGCAACAAAAAGTCACGCAATCAAGCACATCTTTATCATTGATTTTTTTAATATTTTGCTTTGCAATGAAAATAGTATTTGTTACATTATTTCATATGCACTATGGCTATGTACTATTTGCCAATGACAAGTATGAAAACATGTGTCCAACGCTCATGGTAGTCCTAACATTAAATCTATACTAATATCTTCCCAAGGCTTATACGGAATAGGTGAAGGTGTGTAAATCCTTATTTATTTCCTTTTCTTTTAATAGTTTGACAAATCCAACATTGTAAAACATGTACATCTCCATTTAGAGCTGGAAAATAATATCTATCCTCAATCAAAATTATAGTCTTATTCCAACCAAAATGTCGCATAGCATCACCAACATGCAATTCTAAAACAATATTTTTTTTTTTTAATAATGAATCGGGAACGAAAAATGAGTTACTAAAAAAAGTATCCTTAAACATAGAGTTTTTATTAAGCGCAAATAAGCAATTATTTTATTCATGAACAATTAAGCACACCCTTACAAATAATGTTAAGCCTACTTAATGCATCAATGTGCTTATTATCAACCTTGACAGTGTTTCAGAACAAAAATGTGTTTTGGCATAAATTCAGCCTACATTCTATCATAATTTATTTTGTGAGTTTATATACTTTAAGACTTGATAATTAGAATGCAATATCCTAAGTAGCAAGTAATATCTTCAACATTGAAGTGTTTGCACAAAACAACAGAAAAGCATAAATTAAATAATTATGTTTTGGTTTATTAATTTTAAAAAATACGCAGTAAGATGAATCTTTTTCATTGAGAGATTCCCTAATAAAGACTTAAGATCACAAGACCAGAAATTGGCAGCCTAACAAAGTCCATAAATCAAATCTCAGAAACAAAATAAGAAACCAGAACATTAAAGTATATGAAGATTCAGAGATTAGCTATAGTGGCAAAATCATAAAACAATTGCCTAAAATAAACAAAATCTCATGTCCATCTATAGTGTCGAAAAAATAAGAAGATCTCCAATCCAGCCATCAAAAATAGTGTCTCCAGCTAAAATGATTTAATTATTTTAACTTTAAAAATCAAAAAAAAAAAAAAAAAAACCTCCCAATCAACAGCACTATTAAAAATAGGCAGTTGCATGAATGCAGAAAAAACAAAGAACAAATTAGCAGGCCCACAGGGAGAAAGTAAATCAAAGAGGCTAAATCAAGGAACTAGCGCTTGAACTAACTAAAACTAATACATGAGAAATAGAGCAACCCAACACAAACATTGGAAAGCATAACCCATTCATCATAGGATCATCAAATAGGCATGTCTTCTAACAGTATAAACTTAAGAAAAAAAGAATTAAAAAAGTAAAAAAAAATGAAGTGATATCAAAACCTAAAATTTCAATGTGCTTGTTTCAACACTCACATCTTGCATTCCCAACAAATTTAAATTTTGATGATTACATCACGGAGAAAGCTTAATGACATTATATTCTTAAAGTTGAAGCTAAACACAAAAACTATGAAACACTAACACAGCAAGAGATTTGTCACGTTGCAATAAACTCCACTAAAAAGGCAAACAGGATGGCAACAAAGCCTGGGATAGGGTAAGGAAGTAATATTACAAACATGTAAAATAGACACAAAAATAAAATTAACAAGTGCGACTATGGTGGAAAGGTCTACCAAAGTGCATCAAGGCATGAGAAAAATAGTTAACAACCTCATCTAACTAACTGGCTAAGCAAATCTCACAATTTAGAGACCAAGAACATTGATTAGCTTTGCAAACTATTGTAAAGGCGGAGGAGGGAGAAGGACCTGCAAAGTTTAGGATAACTGATGCAAGTAGTAGCACCCTAATACTTAAACTATATCTTACATGTGCTCTAAATTTGAAGCACCAAAAATGGAACCCATATCCACTCAGTGTGTAGGACATTCATTTTGAAAGTTTTGATAAAGATGTATTAGTAAACATAGCTATTTATCTTTTAGTATAGGACTTTAAGAATGCAAATAGAAATTTGAAAGGCTTCATTCGATAACTTTTCATTTTGAAACAATATTTGATATTGTATGCAAATGTGCCTAAATTTCTATGCAACTAGTTGGAGAAATGATTTACAGCTCACAGATCTTTGTCCTGCTTCTTCCTATTGATAGTTGCTTTGTATGTATTTCGGCTTGTACCTTAAATACAGCTTGACACATAGTCTGGACTCCCAAGCTCTATGATAGCTCTTTACTTGATATTTAACGTGAACTGCAATTATACTACTTATTCAAGTTACCTCATGGAATATGATACTTTAATTTATTGGTTTGCATACTATATGCAATAGATACTTAAGAAGGTTTACGAGTTGCAATCGCAACCATGGTTAAAGAACTTTCAAAAGTTATGCCTTGGAATCCATTTCATCCTAAGGCACTAGGAAAAAGATTCAAAACCAAAATTTTTCTTGATCTTTCAAACCCATGCCTCAACTGTTCAAGGAGTAATTTTTGAATGTTAACATTCCAAAACCCATTTTGGTATGGTTTTTGAACTACATCAATCTATAGGGTCTGCTTGACAATGTGATGGAGTTTTTTGAATATTTTAACTGGCCCTTTAATAGCAGTTTTTAATTTATGAAATTTTTAGGCTTTAAGAAAATTAGATTTTAACGTAATGACAATAAAAATAAAATAAAAAAAAGGCAATTCTATTCTTCATGAGGGCTTCTGTCGCCAACCACGCACACAAGTTTAAGCTTCTGCCACCAAACAATAGATCAAGCGTCATTAAGATCAAGATTTTATTCCTTTAATCCTTCCATTTTTTTCCCTTCCTTTCTTTTACATAGTCAATCACCATACCAAGTTTACATGGCGACATGGTTGAATGCACAGCAGTGATAGAGAATGACGAACAATGGTCATTGTATTGGACAAAACTATGCTTGACATCAATTGAAATCAACTAAGCATTGCTTATTCCACAAAACAAACTTCGCAAAAAATCAGAAAAGCTGAAATTGCCTAAAAAATGTCCACATTGTCGCAATGTATGATGAGAAGGCTGAAAAATCTACTCAAAACCTTTTGAAACTTCGAACATTAGCAGTCTCTACCACTCACTCTCAGCTCACATCTCCCAATAAAACCCCACCATCATCGCCGCTAGGCAAGCCACCCACCACCACCAGTGGTCACCTCCTCTTCTTCTTCCTCTTTTTTATTCTACTTCTCATTCCCTCCTCCTTTCCCGTTCTTTTCTCTTTCTCCCTTCTACTCTCCTCTTCTCCTCCTCTATTCCCTCCCGTTCTCTTCTATTCGAACCCTCCAGCTCTCTCTCTCTCTCTCTACCCAATCCTAGCTGAACCCACCTCATGGTTTTATATGCAGGAAGGAATTCTACACAAGCCCTAAAGTTTCAGCATCTTGTTCTTGATCAATAGCATGATTTATAGGATCGGATTCTATTCAGCAATAACAAAATTTGCATTACAGAATCATATCATCGTCACAAATGAATATCCAAATCATTCTCCTTCGAAAAAAACGCGAAGAAGCAAACATAACTACCCAAAGGGATGAAACCTAACAGTGCAATTACAAAGCTTAATCACGCAAATGATGATAAATGTAGCATACGTACAGCAATTCCATTCCAAAAAAAAGCTAACGTAATAGTATTGCGACTAGTCACGTTGCAAAAATGTTTGGAACAAGGAGGCGATGAATTGAGCAGTACCTTGTTGAAGAAGGACGTCCTGGAGTCAATTGGAATGAAAGGGAGAAATTTAATGTCGGGCGACGGTGACCTGAACCCCGAGGCGACAAAGTGGCTACGCGGGACAACTAACAGCCCGTCCGCGCCGGCAGCACAAATCGGCATCGTCCTCCAGCGTTCACGACGATACAGAAATCAGCAGTAGGTTTTTTGAAACAAACCGAGAGAAAAAGCTGCAATAAAAATTCAACTGGAGCGTAAGCTGAGTACATATTAGTTTCTTCAGATCGTATGTATATGTGTTATATTTGGGTTATACTACTTGTAATTCTTCTTGTAATTTAATTGTAACTTATATGTACCCTCCGCATAACCTAATATGTACGCAATTCTGCGTAAATCTAACGTACGCAAATATTTCTCGTAATTTGGGGTGTAAAAGAGCCTATCTTGAGCGAGCCCAAGTTTTGCACAACTCCTTTAAAGAATCAATTTTTATGTTCGGCTAGTTTATATCAAGCTCAAAATTTTTGTTGGTATTCGGCTAGTTTGCTTAACTAGCGGAATACGAGCTGTTCGCAAACGAGTCATTTTAGTAACCTTAGTCACGCACTCTTAGAATGTTTGAAGTATGGAAGATATTTAAATCTTAATATTTAAATTAAGATATTCATTTAATTATACTTTAGCTATATTTATTTTACGTTTTTAATTAATAATTTTAAGTGATTATAAATCTGCATAGTCTTGTAGTCAATAAAATTATTTAAAAATAATACTCATCAATTTTTTTTGAGCCAAAGCGAATCGAATACGAAAAAACAAAGCTTTGTTTATGTTCAGCACGTATATATTTGAGAGCAAAAAATTTGTTTGTGTTCAGCTCATCTGTTTAGTAAATGAATCAAACATGAGCTATTTAACGAGCTGAATACGAGCTATTCGCGAACAACAGACCATTTTGACATCCCTAACTATATGCTCTAATAAATTCACAAATGTTTTATCCTCTTTTTTTTTTTTTACTTATGATACAATTATAATAATAAAAAATAAAAATAAAAATCATCTAGGTGGTTCACTTATAAATATCTATATTTTGGATGGTCTTTATGTAATTATCCCTTAAGAACAAGTAGAAAAAGATGAGGATGGATTATGAGAGTTTTAGGGAGGAAAATCTCATTTTGCCCTTCTTCCAAATATTTCCCTTCAATTGAATTTGTAGGGTGGAACCAAATTTTATGTTTTATTTTATATTTACAAATTTTGTATTATAAATGACTTCAATTATAATGTAGTTAGCAAAACATCATCTCAATTTTTTTCTTATCTTTAGTAAATGATTTGACTTGATTGATTAGCTCATGTGATTTTTAGCTCACATAGAACTTGAATTCATTTATAACATAGTCAACCAAGGCTCTAAATAGATGACCATCATGATAGCTCCATATTGTTGAATGGGCTTCCAATACATCCATAGTACTGTGTAAAACATTTCTTTTTTTTCCTAAGAGTAGTAATATTTAATATGGAGGGCTCTCACATATGTGATACAAGAGTTTAAAATCACACTCTTTACTTGAAAATATAGTGGTGCAAGAACCAAAATTTGTGTGAGGCCTACATCTTTTGATTTCAATTAATGCTATAATAATCATAATAAATATCATAACATTCTAATTAAATATGATAATTGTAATACAACTCTACAAGTAGATAACTTTAGGGCTGTGGAAGCGATTTTAGCCAAAGATAATCTTGGGCATAGTAGAATTGCTATAGGAATTTTAAGGCTTCAAGTTAAAGGAAATGTTTTAGGAGAGAATATAGGGCATTAGAAGAGAAAGGTGGCTCTTTTCAATTTTTGCATGAGATATTCAGCATTGCAAGAAAATAGAGAATCACACAGAACACTGATCAAATCCCAAAGTCGCGCATTTCAATCCCAATATACAGATTTTGCTGTACAAAAGAATTGAAAGGAATTAAGTAAAACTGACAATGTGGCAGGGAAGACCTACCTACAGTAATCCAACTAATATCAACAAATTTTAAAGTTAAAGCCATCCCCAGAATCACTCTGAGAATCCCAAGGTTAAAAGGCCCCCCCTCTACACAAAGAAGCCATAAAATCAAATTATAAAAAGAAGAAAAAACGAGAAAATAGGGTGCAACATCTTTGATAGACTAAAAATCAGGTGGTGCCAGAGCCATAATTTGAGGCCTGCACAAAGAATCAATTATGTGGACTCAATCTGATCTAAAGAGGATGTTAGTAACCCATCAGCATCACATCAAACTCTGAGAGAGATGTCTTCCTTCTCATCGCTCTCAGAAAATCTACAGCGGTAACTGCTCTTCTGATTAACAATGGTGTTAGATGAAGAGGGGCCTTTAACTTTTAGCCGCTTTGGACCAAGGTCTACACAAGTTAGTTCTGTGCTGGAAACTGGTAAATGGTGTGGAGGACTCTCTCTCCGCCTAGGCTTATTATATGAGTTGGATTGTAAGGGGTGATGATGATGCCTCATCGTCGATGGAGTCGAGTGAACACGGCCGGTGTAGTTTCTACCAAGAACTTCTTTTGGTGGCCCGAAACTCTGCTTCTTCAACCGTTTGAATGACTGATAAACAAAACAAGAAAATTTTATTAGTCTCTCTGAGGAGGATTTAGTAATGAAGATCATGAAGCAAAATTTAGAGAAGAAAATGTGTAAATATTAAGAGAATAGAATTGAAATTCATCCTTATCAAACTCAATTGTGTTCGCCATCTAATTACCCAATCTACACAAGCAAACACATGCTTCGCACAGCAATCACTGGAGGTGAGATACCAATGTAGTAGAACTAAACTTTATATTGGCCTTACATCCAACAAACATGGGATTATTTGCAGTTTGTGGACTGACTGTACATAAAAATACAAACATTCACCTCATCTACAAGGATATCAATGTCCTCGTTTCTGTTTACAGACACTATGTTAAAACAGTCATTTTATTAATCTCTTATAGTTCATCAAGAAGATATAGTTAACAAACTAATTGTCCCAACTTATTTCAATAGATGATGAGAGGCTAGCGGTTGGTTCCTCTATGACCCAGGGTTTTGGCATTGGAAAATATTTGGTGACCTGCTGTCCCTGCGGACAATCATCACTAGTAGGGAATAATTCAAAATTGACATCTACAGTGTTGCTATGGGATCTCAGTATGTGTTGTTTTTTTAGTTACATGCAACCTTATTCTGTGGGGATTTTCCACAACGGAAGTTTCTTTTTTTAGTGCAAGTGTTGTGTATTAAAATCCAAAAAGAATTTATGATTGTAAAAGTTATCAAATATTTCTGAAAAATTTCCAGTTGAATGTACAATTCTTTCTATTCTTCCCTTAATAGTTCATATTTCAAAAATGGTTTATTTGAACAAAAAACCTACTATGAATTTAATTTATAATGAGATTCCCTTATTAGTTCATATTTTGAAAATGGTTGATTTGAACAAAAAGCCTGCTATGATTTATAATGATTATAAAAATAATCAAGTATTTCTGAAAAATTTCTAGATGAATGTACAATTCATTCCAATCTTCCCTTATTAGTTCATATTGTTGAGTTTTGGAGCCCGGTCTGACCGCTCCCATTCCCACTCCCGATCGCGAAACATCACGACCCTGCTCCCACTCCCGATCGCGAAAGGTCGCGACCCCAACTCCCGTTTCTCCTGGCGTTGATTTGCGAACAGCGCCAACCGTTGCCGCGAAGTGAAGCATCCCTTCGCTCCCTGTTGTTTCACGATAAAAGAAGCGGCTCTTCTTAAGATTTAGTTTAACACATGGCCTTTTTGTGTTCTTCTTTGAACTTCCTCGGGATAGAAGAAGAGAAGTGCAAGCAGTAGTTCATTGCGGCAGAATGAAGAAGAAGAAAATTGTTCTCCCTTAGCTTCTTCTTGGTGGCTTGTGACAGAAGAGAAATAAATAAATTGGGTTTATTTTTCTTGTAAGTTTATCTTTTTCGGTGTATCTCGGTGTAGGGAGAGAAGAAGAGAGCAAAGAAGTGAGAGATCCCACTTGTAAGTCGAGACGATCGACTGGTGTAAATTTCACAAGTAGTAAAATGCTCCGCAACTTCGTGGACATAGACAATTTGTCGAACCATGTAATAACGTAAATCTGTGTTCAATTGTATTACTATTTTCTTGTGTGAATTTTCTCGTTCTATTTTTTCGCTTCATCGTCAATCGTTCTATTTTATTTTATATACCACAACACATTTTGAAAATTGTTGATTTGAACAAAAAGCCTACTACGGATTTAATTTATAATGAAGTTAATGATGCAACGAAGTTAATAGCACATATTTTAGGAGGAGCTAAGCCCTATTATAAGAAAATTTGGGAAGTTGGACCTTGAGCTTCACTGACATTTATAAGTCACAATATTTTACTTAAATACTGAATATTAGGATGAAGCAAACAAATCAACCAATCCATATATCAAGTTTATTTGTACCACTTTATGGATAGATAAATAGCTAATTCAGCTCAGAGGTCAACAACTGATCTTCAACCTGCAGCAGCACTTTATAAAAGCACAGCAGCAAAATTTTACCAAGTTGAATTCTAGCATTAAATGACTATGTTCCACCAAATTTATATATTATGTAAGTTGAATGGTGGATTCATATTTGAGAAGGCAATCTAAATCTACAACAATTCGCTATCAAAATTCTAAAAAAGTGCATGTAGCGTTTTATTAAAATATCAAATAAATTACAGAAGGTACGCCGCAAATCATTATCTGACTAGACCTATCATCACAAATACAGGGATACAAAGCATGGGTTTCAAAACCCCGTCTCAAAATAAAACTATTCTACAGAGCTAGAGTTGCACAAAAGTGTGCACCTTTATTTCCTATGGCAAGCACAGCCATCATCAAAAATAAGACCGGGGAATGCTTATTAGCTGCTGGTAACAAATTGGAGCACTGGGATAGTGCACAAGTGGAATTACAAGCATTTATTTCGACCTCATGGATCCTTAGATGCTCGAAGTTAAAAGATTAATCATTGAAGGTGACAATATACACATTATTGGCTATCTCCACCAAACTATGAAGTGTGGGAGAATAGACTGCAGGATATGCCTGATATTGCATTCCTTACTCATTTTAACAAGTCATTTTCCAGTGTGCCTCAAGACATCGCTAGCAAAAACCTCGGGGCACGAGTGAAATCGGAGTGCAAATAACCATGCTCATACCAAAAGGAGAAATTGTTTAACCATCCTCAGAATGAACTTACTTTTTTATGTTATCTAACGCCTAAAGATTAAAAAATAAATATTTGAAGAAGTTATTTTGGATAATGCGAAGATCCATTAATTTGTAAGATATGTTGTGGAATAATAAATGATTTGTGGAAAATAACAATGAAGTTACACCATTAGAATTGCAAGAGAAATATCTTAATATTGACTTCTTCAATAGAGGAAAAAGCAAGAACAATAAATCTAATATAAGTTCGCAAAAAATTATCAAAAAAAGATTACTATAAAAATTTATATAGCTGAAGGTACAAATATTCGGGTGTCAATTCGGGTTGACGAGCACAGTGAGATCTGACTCAAAATTAAATCAATCTAAAAACCAAAATAAGTCTAGTTATTATGTTGGTCAAAATATCTAACCCAAATATAACTTGACCCGACTCACTTAACCCAAACTAGACCCACTTAACTAAATTATTATATGAAAAAAACATTTTTTTAGATTAACACAATCCAATTAACTTGAGTGCGGCTTGTTTAATCAAAATAGTAGACTGAAACTCACATAACTAGAAGAAAATAATAATTGGAACAATTTTAAGTTACTCAGCTGATGCATGAGCACCTCCATCCTGCGCAGGTGTAGGAAAAGCCAGCCGGTTCAGCTGAACCGGCTGGCATAAGGCGCTGGCCTGGACGGCCCATAGAGGGGGCGGTAAATTGGTCAGCCCCTTCTCCCACCTTCCTTATGCACTCTTTACCTTATGAAAAGCTTTAATGGCTATTTTATGGATTAATCCCACCCCTTCCTTTTGTGTGGAAGCTTTCTTCCTACCTCTCTCCTTTTCTCCTCCAATTGGAGTCTACATACTGTTTTTTTCTAGAGAATTAGGGCAGTCTTTGTTGTTGTCAGATTTCAGATGCTTGTGTGGGGATATTCTTCATGCTCTAGGGTTGTCTCCAAGGAGATGGCAGCGCTCCAACTGTATCCTACTCCGAGGTTGTGGTGTTCCCTCTTACCCTACCTCACCCCTCTCCTCCCCTCTCCACAGCTGTCGGTCTTTCGACACTTCACCCCAGCAGCTAGCCTTCCTTCCTAAACATCCTAATTTTGTTGTCCAACTTGCCAAATTTCCTCTCAGCACACAGCCAACCTTTTCCAACAGCCTACCCTGTTGTCCAGAACCCTTCCCAGCCTGTTGAATTTCTTAGCCTGCATTTCTACTTGATTTCCACTTCACCAGACCCTCCCCACTCTAGGTCGCCCCCATTACTGCCATCAATTGGATTGTCTCAGCCCTCTGGACTGCCTACCAGCCTCGTGACAACCATTTTATTGTAGCCACTCTCGCTGTCCAACCCCCAAACCCTTCCTAACAGACCTCGCACCCACCAACCCTCCCATATACCCTCACTATGTTGTCAACGCCACCCCCGCTCTCAAATCTACTATTCCAGCCTAACTGGAGATTGATCTATCATTATTTTTTCCTTGTTATTGTTGTGTTGTAACTCTATTTCTATATTAATAAAAGTTTGTTTTGTGTTCCATTAAATCCTAATTAGTTCTGATATCTTTTGGTATCAGAGTCAGCTTAACTCTAGTTCTATCCTGGGATTTCCTAGCATCCGTCTTAGCCTAAAAATTTTCTTTCCAGACTACAATTACCCTCTCCACTATTATATATCCCCAACACTAATTCCCCTTTGCTAATTCTTAAAATCAGCAACCTTAAACCAATATATTTACCCTTTTTCACCTCTCTAACCCTAAACCCTAGCCATGCCACCAAAAAGAAGTGCGTTCGAGTCTATCTGAGAAAGATACGATAAAAGCTTCGTCTTCTTCGACAGAGACTTGCGGAGATTAAAGAGTTAACACGGGATGAAGTTACCTTCGACCGGGATAGTCGAAGGGGATAAAGAAATGACAATCTGATTACCTTTCATGGGGAGACTTTCAACAATGAAGAAGACAGACTACGATGTTTCGAAATACAATATATGAATCCCTCCCGGAGGGAGAATTACAGAGAGAATATATCATTTGGAGGGCACTAAGTCTTCCACATCAAAGTTGATCTACCAAAATTTGAGGGAGGCATGGATCCCAATGACTTCATTGATTGTCTGCAATCTGTTGAACTGATCGAGTATAAGGATGTGTCAGAGGATAAGAGAGTCAAATTAACTGCTATCAAGTTGAAGAAAAGTGTATCTTTGTAGTGGGAGAACTTACAATGACAGAAGAAAAGGGAAGACAACGATAAATATACTAGGTGGGAGAACATGAAAAAAGGTGATGCAGAGTAAATACCTCCCACCCCATTACTGTCATGATATGTTCCCAAAACTTCATCACCTGCAGCAGAGGGATTTATCAATAAAGGAGTTCACGAAGAAGTTTGATCGGTTATAAATGAGGTGTGATTTGGTCAAGCAAAAGGAGCATATCATAGCCCGTTATTTGGGAGTCTGAAGCCAGCTATGAGCAATGTAGTACAGTTGCAACCTTATTCGTTACTTGGAGATGTTCAGACACTAGCCCTGAAAATGGAGAGGCAACAGAAGTAGAGCATGCAACAATCATTCTTCAGGTAGCAATCGTCAGGCATGCAGTCACCTACAGTTACTACGACCGACAAGGGTACCCTAGGAGACACTAGCAAGCCTAAACAAGAGAATGACACTACATATCAAAATGGGAAGAAATGGGAGAAAGGTAGCTCATCGAGCACCGTATCGGGGAGGAAGTGTTACAGATGCCATGTCTACAACCACATAACCTCCAGCTATCCCACAAGCTGGGTAGTCCTGCTCACTGATCAGGGTGTCGTGGAGGAGATTAGCGACATGGAGAAAGCTGAGGAACAGGGTGATGTGTATCAGCTTCCCCCAGAAGAAAAAAAGGTGCTTGTGATTCAATGGATCATGCAGACTGAGGACACGAGAGATTCGCAGTGGCCTCGCCGCAACAATTTCTACACCCGCTGCACAGTGAACAGAAAGGTATGCAATGTTATCATCGATGACAAGAACAACAAAAAATGTGACATCTTCTCGGATGATAGAGAAATTGGGACTTGCGTTCAGAGGCATTCTCAGTCATATTAACTGACTTGGCTGAAGAAGGAGAATTTGGTCGGCATCAACCAGAGATGTTTGGTAGTGTTTTTGATTGGAGGACAGTTGTAGGACCAGATGTGGTCTAACATGGTCCCTATGGATGTCTGTCATCTTCTGTTGGGAAGACCGTGGCAGTTTGACTAAAGGACTCAACACGATGAATAAAGAAATACACTCCTTCACCACGGATGGTAAGTGCATCATTCTGCTTCCTTCGGTGGAGTCTAAGATCACAAGAGCTCTAACCAGTAGCTCAGCATCAGTGGGATCAGTGTTAGTGATGACACCGGATGAGATGACCGAGACACCCGCTCCAAATACAGGACAGATACGACCGAGGGTATGTCAGGTCGACGTCGTACCAACAGTGCCACTGCCATGCGGGAAAGTTCATATCACTCATTGCATGCTCAATTGAACCGACCATGGGTTACTTTGGGAAGATTCAACATTACAAGTGTGGCCCACAACCTCAAAAGAACATATTGATATGGACAAGTGCTCTCAAAGCAGATGGGGAAAACTCCTCTGATGGTTTGGAGGACAGTACAACCGACAGAGGGTCCAAGTGCCCCCAGGATTGAAGGCAAAAACAAGAACTTCAACGAATAAGGTCAAAGCTCCCTCAACCCAGGGAGATTAACAATGGAGCGGCTCCATCCCACGCAGGTACTGGAAAATCCCCCAGGCGCGTGCGAGAAGGCCAGCCCGCTGAACTGGCTGGCATAAGGCGTCGGTTCAGGCCCCAACTGGAATTCGACCGGGAGGCCTATAGAGGGGGCGACAAAACCACTGGTCCCTTGGTCCACCTTCCTTATGCGCTCTTCTCCTTATGAAAAGCCTTTAATGGCTATTTTCTAGAGTATTTCCAACCCTTCGTTTTTTGTGAATTTCCAACCATAAGAATTTCCAACTCCCTGAGGGATAGATACTTAGGACACTATAAGAGTCATTTATTACTTGAGTGATATGTATACTTACGTTATTATTACGGTTTAGCAGCTTAAAAATTTTAAAATATAAAACTATTTATACTGAAATGATTTTTATTGTGATTAAACTGCATATATATTATTTGTGTTGTCGTGTGTGATTGTAATAATTGAAATATATTTACAATGCATTTGCACCAACCACCAATAAGTTTATTGCTTTAAATATTAGTTAATGATTTGCTTATGGAAGAGAAAAATGGTTAGATAAAAATGAGAAAAATTATAAGAAGATGAAGGAAAGAAAGCAATTTATTATATTGATGATTCAAATGAAAAGCCACTAAGTGATAAGAGTTACGAAAACTTTTGAATCAAATTGTTGTAAATTTAGTGGCTTAAAATATTTGTTAATGTTGATTTAGGAATAGTTTTACTTTGAATTTTTATTAACTTACTTTGTTGAAGGCATAATACTTCTTATGTCATATCTTTTATTTATTCAATACCCTGATTTTAAGGCTTGAGCCTCGAAAAGCCTCAAGACCTATGTCTTGCCTCAAGGATAAAAAATAGGTTGCCAATAATTGCACAATTTTAAATCTTAACAATTCTTACTATAAAAATTCCTCACTTGTTGCTATGGACTAAAGCATAAAGTTGAGAAAATTAGTATGTTTTAGATAAAAAATAATGAGGGCTTTACCAAATGAAAGATTTTATGTTGAATACCTTTTGACTTTACTGGTGAAATAAGAAGAAATTAAATCTCAAGCGCCCTAAGCAATACTCAAAGCCAGACGTCACTATTTATATTTGAAGTACATAAATTTTGGAAAGAGGGGATTCTGACTGATACACTCGTACTTTAAACAAGTGCCTTACTAGATGACCATTCTTTAGAAGATAAAATATTCAACACATCTCAGCATTGCCGATTATCATCCCCAAGTTTAAGTCCTAAAACTGACAAATAGCACCATTTTTATCTCAAGTGACTTGGTTGATTGATAAAAAGATTTGATTAAGCACTATATGTACACAATTCAATGTCTTCCCCTTTGATGGATTTAACAAAACATGTTCTGACCACTGTTGAGGGTGACCAATCTGCAATCCATATATTATAATTTTCATAGCATGAGTAGAAACTGTGTAAGACATTTTTTTCCTTATAATACGAAATAACACTACCAAACCCACTGTAAAAATAATATTTTTTTAATTGATTGCAATAAGGACATCTAAAATTTGTACTTTCAGACAACCAAGCTTAATCCGATGGTATTCGACAATAAACTTCCACTAGCAGAATAGTTATTTTTTTTTAAAAAAAAGTTTTATGTTTGAACAGCTGAAAAAGAAAAAAAAGAGAGAAACCACAAGTTTTAGTTGCTAGTGCTCTTTCAAATTTTTCAATCTAGTATTTTGCAAGAATTTTTCGTATTTGGATAGGGTTTTACTTTTAAGGTTGATTTCCAACATTGGAGTATTTGGCTTCCTGGACACATACAACATTGCATTTTTTTTTTTTTCCTCATTAGATGATTTCAGGAGGGTCAGTTAATTGGCACTCAGAAAACAGCATCAATTTAATCACCAAAATCAATGCAGCTTGTATGGCCTTGACAAAACTGCTAATAGAGAGTAATGGCATTTCCTTCCACAAGAGCAATGAAAAATATCCAACTAGCTTACAGGAAAACATACATAATAACGGAAAGAAACAGATAATACAGTAAACACAGATTCATTAATTACCAGTTTCTCAGGAAACCTTGAATCTTCTCCATCTTTTTCCCCAGAACTAAAAACAGGCCTCCGCTTAATCCTGAATATTTCAGAGTCCGAATCATCAATATCTTGTACAAGTGCAGCGTGAGAACCAGTATCATATCCACCTATATACATTTCAGATGTATTTGATTCAACGGATCTATGCGGACAAATTATCTCACTCCGGGAAATTTTCTGAAAAGCATTCATTCTATCAGAAGTAGAACATGGCTGCAGTATGACAAGTATGACATTAGTTCATTAATGGTATACAAAAATTTGTGGCAAGGTTAATACAGCACGTCCTTTACTTTGTAAGACAAAGAAAGAATGAGAAACTTACTTCATTCAGTGTAAAACATCCTTTAGGCGAAGGAAAACTTGATCCTGAAGTTGTTTTACACTCTACTTTAGTCTCACATTTGAAACCTTCTTCAAATCGAATTTCACAATACGGCCAATAACCATCCTCTTCAGGACAAAAAAAGGCAGTCAGCTGTGATGAAATGCAATCATTTTCCAGTAATTGCTTTTCCAACTCTGTTATCCCATCCTCTTGCTCAAATTTCTTTGCTACAGTCTCAAATTCTAAAAGATCTGACCTTAAAAAGATAGTGCGGCTAGAGCCGCACTGACAGCTTCGTATCTCATTCTCTGCAACAGATCAGAAACAGAACTATTATGAAGACTATCAAGATATAGATGAAAAAAAATGCAGCATGAAGAATAATACCATGATGAAGGCAGATGGGGCTGTTGTAGCAATTACACGTGACATAGGCTACATAGCAATCACGTTTGCAGATTTCACATGACATAATTGTTGGAAAATTTGAAAAATAACAAGCCTGAGCTCCCAACTTCATGAGCCACCAGCGGGCACGGTGTTGGAACCTCATCAAGTTCACAAACGAAGCCTTGACACAATTCTGGTTGTGCAACTCTTCAATCCCAAAGTCAGAATCTTTCCTGTTCAAATCTGTCAGATTCTTGTGAAGAAGCGATGCTTCCTTGCAAAGTAGTTCCTCGTAAGGTAACAATGGCATCCTATTAAAAAGTGCATAGCGACGACTAGCAACAGTACCAAAAGGAAACCAATCACCAGTGGCAAAATTGACAGCTTCACCGCAATTGAAACCTGAAGGGAACTCAATGAAAAGTTAATTTAGCAGGCAGTTATTTATTGTGCAAGGAAAAATATGTTTGAGACCACTATCATACCATGGCTGAAACCAGCATGATAAGCACGAGGAAAAGTAATTACAAATTCTCCAGGCTGCTGTACAGCTTTATAAACAGGAACATGATGGTCTAACAAAATTTTTGGAGGAAACATGGTAGTCTTTCCCAAAAGCATTTCAAAAGCTGCATCGTCTCCTTCAGTTGGAAAAATTTCACGTTTATAGACATGTTCCTGCGCTACCTTTTCAAAGTCAGGAGCTGCATGACCAGGAATTCCATACCAAGTTTTAGATGCTCCGCAATGATGATAGTTGATACTGCAAGATATTTTTAAGACCATAAAACATCATTCCACCAACTCTGACAGTGAAAAAGAGAGGTCAATAACCAACATCCAGAATATTTCTCTGCAAACCTATACAAGTAGTGATCTTCAACATGCCAGGCGAACATGCTAAACAGCATTCCTATGTAAAGCATGGGATCTGTTACTCCCTGCAGCAAAAATAAAGAAGTATGATTGTAGAAAAAATTTCTAATGAGGGAAATGAAAGAAGAACACAAGCAAAAAAGCAAAGTCTTGTAAGTTCACTTACAGCAATAGTAGATTGCAGAAGCCGCAACACAGAGTTGGGAAGACGAGCAAGCTTCTGGAAGCAAATAAAAATTCAAAAAATATATACATTTTAAAACAAAAAAAAAAACAGACAACAAGTGAAGACATATTTTTGTTGATTTTTTTGGTAAAAAAAAAAAAAGAAGAGCATATCTAGAAAAATAGATCCATACCTTCAAGTTCCATTTACTTTTCCCCAATTGATCATTAGGGGAAGATGAAAAGGCACTGCCATCAATATCGCAGGCATATTCAACATACTCTGTCCTGCCAAAAGCAATTTCTCGCCAGAATTGCTCTTCAATATACTTAGAAGGGAGACATCCAGCACTGTAATATCTTCGAGCGAACTCTTTGTTTGCCATCCTCTCAAAATCCCTAAATGTATACTTCCTAGGACAAAACAGAGATATATCAGGGCTGACCATAGGTATCAAAAAGTAGGAATTACAGAGATATAAAGCTCACCTTCCACTCATAAAAAATGAAACTTTGTCATCTGTAGTCCACTCAGAGAGACGAAAAGGCTGCACACAGGTAGTAAATTTGAATCCACCTTGCTCCTTCATCAATACAACACCAGCAGGTATAGTAGCACAAATAGGGGAAATTATCTTGCAGATACCTGAGAGATATCAGTCTTAATCATCGTTAGTATTATTTAGCCAAAGATCAAATGGCACAAATATGACAAAACTTTTCAGACCATCCTGTATATTCCCTGTCATAAATTATAGAAGATGATAGAAACAAGAATATAGAGATAATGATGTCTACCGTCAGTATGTAAATAGAAATACACTCAACCAAGGATTAGACAATGTATTACATTTGAGCATGTATGGCAGGAAAATTAATCCAAGAATTTAGTAAAAATAGCACAAGATAGAACTTAGAAGGTTAGCAAACAATTACCAAATAAAGACATCTAGTATAAATATAACAAAAGAAAACATTTTAAACATGCCATTAAAATTGCAAATGAAATAAAGCATGAAGCTTAAAGCACGGAACATGAGTTGAAAAGGGAAATTTTGACTAAAACAACAACAGAGGTAGAAATAAAAGTGTTTCAGGAAAACATATATTTATATTCATCTTCATTTGGCCTGCATCATCATAGCAAACTTTAGAAACTTTAACGTAAGGAATGGAGAAAATCCTCGCAGAACACTACTTCAAAGTGAGTACACTGCCATGCAATAATAGCAAGCACGTATCATAGAAAAATACCATATTTTGAAGCTATGGGCGCAACCTTCTGGAGATAAATTAATGGATCTTCAAATTCCTCCATTGTTGGGCTGAATACAGGGCATTCTGGAATCTGACCTAACCATTCCAAGCAAGATATATCAAAGTTTTCAACCTTGTGGTTTGAGTATACATCTTTTGAAGGAGTGTTTCCATTGAAAAATGCATCTGCAATGCCATGTAATCTGTTTCCACGTGATATTGAGGCTCTCATAACACCTCGACAACTTGCAGACGTACTTGCCGCATTAGTTGTTTCAGGCAAAGTGCAAAACTTCATTCGATGAAGTCTCTTAGGCGTCAAAATTTCCAAACCACTTTAACCTCTCAAGATAAACATGGCCTGCCATCCACCTGCCAATAGGAAGTGCAATGTTAAAAAGTCAATTCATTATAGCTAATAGAACGACCGAAAAATGGTGATTTTAGAATGTCTGTAATTTAAGTTTTGACTTTGTTTCAAGCATAATTCATGAATAAGTGTAATAAACCTCTATGGGCCATTACATACAGATAGCAGCATTCAGTATAGGGAAGCATGGATTCAAAGAAGAAAAATGAAACTAACTACACACAATGGTTAAGAAAATAGCCTATGTCTAATAGCCAGAGGCAAATTGAACTGGTACCAAAAAAATCCACGAATAAAGAGCTTGTACAAGAAACCAAAAGAAGTAAGCTTTATAAAAAATTTTGATAAGAAAATAAAGAACATCGTGGGTCAATTTATCAATAAATTAAGAAAAGATACAACTTTGTCAAGGTTGTATTTCCAAGGAAAGGAAACAAGGGAATGCTATGAAAAATCCACAAGGACGAAGAAAGCAAAAATTCAACAGAGCATGCATTTCAAAATAGGCAGCATAACACAGTGCAATAAGTATTATACTTTAAATAGGCATCATGAACTCAGGGGACTGCATGAAATAAATTAAAAAAGATTCACAAATGAAACAATAAAGCTATAAGCTACCGGACAGGACGAAAATACCAATAAGAAAACAAGATTCGGTAAAAACGTTGAACCAGTTACAAATGCTTGAATGACATCTTCTAATCCATGAAATCAACAACTCTCAGTAGTTCCTAATAACTCAAGATGAAATTAAAGAAGCGTATAACAACATAATGTAAAATAACATTAGCACAACCTAGCTCTAACAAAACGGCGAAAGTATTCGCGAAATTCCAATTTTCCACTGTTAAAACTCCACTTATGTAAACGTACAATACTTTCAACAGCAAAATTAAGAAAATTACAGCAGGTGAAGTACTATCAACTGTTAGAGGAAATGCAACAGAGATTTTCTCCCCCGTCTTCCACGCAGCGTAAGATAAAAAACGAAAAAAAAAAAAGCTTCACCAACTAAAAATAGTAAGGTGGAAAAAACATTCTTGGTCATGACAATAATGAAAAGCCCTGATATCTATCAATAACGGAAGAACTATAAAATGCACAAATTAAGTTATCAAAATCAGAAAGGATCCGAAAATATAAAAACTCGCAGCCAGCTAAAATAAATCTACAAAAAAGTAAAACGTGCAAAGGAATTGTAAGATCTGCAGCTGTTACCGTTTCATATCGATCTCAGCCAAACCAAACTCCTCCACACTGAGCCGATCAGGAAAGCCAAACCAGCAACTCACGAGAACAGAACGAAACATAAAACCCAACGCCTCACGACCGAAACCAGTCCTCGAATGCAATCCCCAACGGCAGACACAAGAAAACCGCCATCCTCTCCAGTCACCGATCCCACATTACCCTCTCACCGCCAAATCTCCTCAAGATCCGAATCTTTAAAGCCAAGGCAAATTGCCGGCAGCGTAGGGGGGGCAAATTCAGATGTCTTTATACGCAACAAAGAGAGAAACGATCTCGCACACCATGAAACGGCGGTTCCCGGCGGCGAAGAGATGCATTTCGAACCGAAAAACGAGGCTCGCCGGCGGTGAGAGGTAGCTGAAGAACCGAGAGGGAAGCGCAGACTGTGCAGAACGGGAGGGAGTTCTCGGAAAACCAGAAAAAGGTAAAAGCTCCGTCTTATATTATTGTTATTATTAAATGATATATAATTATAGAATATAGATTCCTGAATTTATTAAATACGATATAGGCTGTAGAAATAGCGCTCGTAATTTAAAAAATAAATAAATAAATAAATATAAATGAGGAGGAGAAAAGCGGTAGTTGCGGGTGGTTCGACCAAACGCTCGCGGCAGGATTCGCGTTTCTTGGGATCAGGAGGGGGGAAACGTTGCCTAGTCAAATTACCTTTATGCCCTCTTCGTCCCAGCTAATTTACGCTGGATTAATAAATAGACGGGGCGTAATTTTTTTTAAATAGATGCCGTTTATAATATATTGAAAAGAGTTTCCCTGATGATCGGAGTTCAGAGGAGCTTTGATGCCCGAACCGAAATGTATGGGATCACGACAGGATTGTGGGATGGGATATTAATTAATGTTTAGAAGTATTTCATGGATAATGCATAAATTTTTATTAAAATTGTAATATTATTTATAAAATTCCAATTTTTTAAATATATCATTAATATACATCAAAAATATGATCTCATGGAAATCTAGGGGATTAGGAGAGAATGATGTGATGGGGGTAGATCAACAACAAGGAGATTGTGAGGCCTGTCTAACCAGATGAGTCAAGTCATATGAACGAAAAGGAGAGCAGGATACGATGGGTGCAGATCCACTATAAGGATATGTGAGGTTCATTTAATCGGATGGGCCAAGCTGTACGAACCAAGTCAGTTATGTCAAAACTTATCGAGCCAAAAGGTAGAGAACAAGACGACCGAGCTATCCAAGTGTAAGTCATTTGAGACAATAGAGTTTATGAGCCATCCACTAATATGAAAACCGACACAATGGAAGAGTCGGTTCTACGATAAATTTGACCTCCCAACGGACTGACTTCTTCACAGCAATTGAACAGAGTTAACTATGTTGGATGAGTTGATTGAACCTTGCAAATAAAGCCCATATGACAGAGCATGCCTAGTCGAGCAAAATCAATTGAATTTAGTTGATGGAGCCAAAAGGAAATCGGACGATAAGCCAACCCTTGTGAAATATCAAAAATATCCCATTATTGACCCTCTCTAAATGGGGTAAAAATACAATATCATTATTGTACTGTCTTTTCTATAATTAGGATGAACATGTTATGAAAATAGTGCAATATTCATTAATATTCATATCTTTATTCTTTGGGTGTGAGTCACAAATAGTCTTAAATTCAACATTAAAAAAATTGTGGATCATGCCAACAACAAAATGATGAGCAATACAGGGTACAAGACTTCACAACATGAAGACTAACGCCAACATGGAATGTAATAGAGAGTTTGTCACCCAGTAAATCTAAGATCTTTTATCAAATGAGTATTGAATCTGCAGCATCATTAGCAGCTCTGATTAGACATTTTGGCACAAATGCAGAATAGCGTCTCCTAGGCTTTTGAGAGGGAGAATAGCACTAAGTCGACACAGATCGATCGACATTGCGTTGGACATATCACACCAGCAAGAAAATGCATTGTCCCGACATATCTCTAATACTAAGCAATTGGAACAATTCAAGATTCCAACACTTAACTCTTACAAGTGATGAACTGACCTGACTAATGACATTGTTTTTTTTTTGAGTGGATCGTATATCTTCTCAAAAGCAACAACATAATGAAATGTGGGCTCTTTTTCAGATAGGAGTAATCACATTTTTCATACATTTTAAGAGAATGTTTGTCACACAGTTCGTCAGTGCTCAGAAAGCCCAGAAGAGCTCTCACACTCTCCTACAGCCTTGTCAAAGACAAAGCGATACCCTACGTGCTTTTGTTACCCGTTTTTAGAAGAAAATATTAGAGTTTTGGGATTTAGAACCCACAGTCGCTCAAGCAAACCCTCACACAAGGATTTAATGAAAGACCTTCTAGTTGTGTGCTAGATTTATAGCAACCAAAAGCACTAGCTGGGCTATTGGAGCTAACCAACCCCCCCCCCCCCCCCCACAACGAGCTAACCAATAGGCATCCACCGAAGAGAATTGTCTATGCTAAAAGTTGGAAACCTAGACACAAACCTTGCTCTCCTACTAAAGCTTTCTTCGAAGATTCAAAATGACTCTTGAAAAATTGGGAGACCGACAAAGCCCATTACCAAGAAAATTGAGCTCGATGCCTTGAACAGCTGTTAGCTCGATGTGAGAAGCGACTTTCGCTTGATACTCAATGACTCACCTAAGAGTTTCAATAGTTGAGATAGTGGAGGCCATAAAAAAAAAGTATTTTAAGAAAGTAATTCTGGTGAAAGTCGAAGCATATCTCCGAGGCCAGAAGAAATAATGTGCATACAATCACGACATAAAAGAGTCACGACTTCTTCAAAGCCTGATCAAATTTGATCAAATTTGGGATGTTGGAGGAGTTCGTAGCACACGGGACAACAATCCAATGATAGGAAAAAACTCATGTTGAATAAATTACAAGCTATTTGATTCAAGCTCACACGATAAACATAGACGATATAGTTCATGCCACCTTCGAAGAGAATTGATGAGATTCATCACTTTGAGTCAGCTTGAAGAGGTCTTAAATGGGTGAAATGTGCGCAAAAGCCCTAACAATACGACACAACTCGCACCCTCCCATCTCTTTTAATGATGAAGACTTACCCTCAAAGAGCAACTTATACAGTGAAGCTATGGTTGTCACTATCCCAATCACAAATTAACATATTAAAATCATACTCATCATCATCAAGAGCTCAGCAAACATCATCTTCAAGTTAGTGTTTGACAAGATGGGTTTGAGCACTTACTATCTTTCGACCATGCCTGAGCCGCTCAATGGGTTCTCTAGAGAAAAGAAAATAGAGTTAAGAACCTCGCCATGCCAGAAATTGGGGGAGAAAATGAGGAATAGTTCACTTACATGAAAAAATGTCATTGTTTCCTCAATTATTTTTGAATTGTCACCCCATGTGGTTGTAAGATTTTCCAGCGATGTAGAGATGATCATTGTCCAGGGCGAGTTGGAGTAGTCTCATGCTTGCTATTTCTATGCAATCATAAGAATTCACTAAGAAACTCACAAATTTGGCATCCACCGAGGGGAATGCCTCAAGACCAGCGAGACTATTCAAAAGTTCCTTGTGGTCGATAATTATGTCGGTAAAGTTTTGGCATGTCAACATTCTCTGACCTCACCTTCCCTGCCCATGACCATAACTCCCAACACCGCTGCTCGCCCCACAATTATCACTGCTTGCAATACAAAATATATCCAACCAATTTCCCTCCAAGCTAACTTCAAAACATAGAGAAAAAAAGATTTGTAACAAAGTCACTTGATGTATATAAGCTTAACTAAACCTTTCACGAAAAAAAAAATACCATCCCAAATGATGGAACACAAATTATCGTGTGAAAACTATTGAAAGATATATTAGAGAATTTTTTTAATAATATGAATTAATAAAAAAAATTAAGATTTGGGGGATAAATTTTTTTGTGGACATAATTATCTATAGTTAACTATATCTCATATGTAACACACAACAAAACTCTAAATTAAGAATATTATTATCGTGTTCATTTAGTCTAACAAAAGAAATGAGTATTTTTATCATAAGGTTCATATATCATGATCTTAGCTAGGGATTAATGGCCACCAAGTAATTAATAAGACATCTAAGAGAAGCATTAGTGAGTCTTAAGTCAATAACATCATATTTATTTAACAAAAAAGTTGCCTACTAGACATTTAATGCCTATAAGTTACAATTATACAAGAACTCAAACCACTAACAAAGACCAATTATTTCTCTTAATCAACTTAATACATTTACCAACCAAAAACAATCCATAATTTAAGCTTAAAATATATTTCACAACCTATACATAAATATTCATAAACATACAAATACTAGCATTCATAATCAATACATTTGCAAGCATACAAGCACTGAAAAACAGTACATTTGCAAGCATATAGCTTAGTCCTCATTATGACCTTTTACGCCGTTCATCAGCAAAGCAACTTCCGACGGGACAGGCGGCGGCGCTCGTACCTGTCACTGTCTCGAGCCGCCCGGCGGCTGCGCTCTGCGCTCTTCCGGCTCGTGCCTCTCGGGCTCCACGCCGTCTAATCGGCGCGCGGATTCCTCTCATAAAGTGACAAGAAAGCCCTTTTGGATTTCGGAAAACTACGGCTCGTCCCCACCGTCCGTCCTCTTCCCCGAAGGCAGCATCTCCGTACAACAATTAATTAATAAAGTTTCGCGCTTAGCCCCTCCTGCTTTTAAAATTTCTAACGGAAAGCGGAGCAGCTGCGGGACCATTGATGATTGGTTTAAAGTGTAATTATGTCAATTTATGGGATATTATGCTGGCCCATATATACTTTATTTATTTATTTTTTTAATTAAAAAGTATTTAAGGGGCATTTTGATTGCGAAGATGCATGCGGTGTACGACTTATACCGTAGATCATGTTGATTTACAGTGCGAATACAATCAAATTTTTTTTTAAAAAAATTTAAAATTGGGTCAACTGAAATACATCCCCACCGTAGATCAGCGTGATCTACGGTGTAGATCGGACATAACATACATCTCTGCATGTGGTGTCCGTATATAATAATTTTTATTTGCATGCATGACAACGAGGTTTTTATGTATTTATGTATCTTACATCTATTTGTGTGTATATATATATCTATATCTCAAAATTTTAAAAGTTAACCAAACCAAACATGTAATCATTACCAATTGAAGTTTAATTTGTCTCCTCAATGCAAGTAGTGTCTACTAAATGCGATTGTTTAGGATTTTAGAAGCTAAAATTAAAGAAGAACAATATATGATTAGGATATTTCATCTTACAATTGCTTGTGTTTTTGTTTTGATGCATAGACAGGCATTGAGTTTTGATCATATTTGATGCGTGCTAAAAAAATTGTGGTAATAGAATAATGGATTATCATCTTAGCACAATGTATGGGTTGGGCATG